GAAAATGATTTATTTTCTTGCGTATCGTTTTAGATTCTGACAAGCTGTGAATTATATAGTAGTTCGCGATCGACATATGTAATGAGAAATACAATCCGCGCGAACAAACGAATTGAAACACATACACACGATGTGACAGCGCGAGTGTATCGTTACAATAAGTGAGTATATGTTCACCATTCGGGGGGGAGGGGGGAGAGAAAAGATCTATTTATCTTGTAAATATCGATTGCCGGACGCGATATCGGCCGAGAGAGCTGGTCGTCGGCTACGAACCCGCCGACGGGAAATAAAAAGGAAGAAAACGGAGCCGCGACCGCAATGGAAGACGACGAAGTTGTGAAATTGGATAAGAGCGGTGCGCGCATAGGACTTCGCTTGCGCGCGTACAGCCGGCGAAACCTCGCACATGCACGTAATCCCATAATAATTTCGCTGACCGCGCCGTAAGCGCTGAAACAACATCTCGCGGAGTCTGCGCAGATGGAACGCGCGCGCAAAAAAAATCATGGTTTTATGGAAAGATGAACTTTTATCGCGACTTGAATATATTTTAAATAAATTTCATAAATCAAAAAAAAAAAAAATAAAAAAATAAATATAGCCCTACACGATTATTTGGTCGATAATATGGAAATTGAAAAAATCACCTGTAATTTCGGTGCGAGGGATAATGGAACTACAAGTAATCAATACGATATGATAGTAACACGTTCTGGTTAGAGATTCTAATCCTCATTCTCGTGAGCGAAGCGATGGGAAACGACGATAATGATGTCAATGGCATTGTGCCGACAATATCGTAGTTGCCGTTAATAAGCGACTTCCTTAAACTGCAATTCTCTCTGTTTTCATGCAAATCACGCGGTCGTAAACGCGCGCGCGACGGAGAACTCAAACACACCGGCTTGTATATACGTGTATAATACCCGCGCGCGGCTGAAGCCTATACGTCATCCTTACTTTACAGTCGCGAACAATGGACGTCTTTGCCGATTATATCGACGTGTCTGTCGATTAATGCCTCGGCGAAGAACGAGCAATCAATTTGGCGAGCGAACTGTGCGCGGCGCCGCCACTCGTTTTGCAGAATTTTGTTTTTTATTTTCGTTTTTCCCCTCGATCGTGTTTTTGCGAAAAGTTGTTTTTTTTTTTCAAGATCTGGTAAAACATTCCGCGAGCGTACACACTCTTCGTGAGTGCATTGGGGAGGATGGGGGGAGAGAGGAAATCCTGCTCTCGTCACGCTAGTCTGTAGAAGCGCAGATATCGATGCGGCGATGCGCTTTCCGCCGTGAGCGACAGGCTGGATGTCCGGAATGCGAGCGGAACCCGTTTCTATGAGTCAAGCCTGACTATTGACAACGAAGAAAGAAAGAGGGAAAAAGGGAGAGAGAGAGAGAGAGAGCTGCTCGCGGCCCGCGATAGCCGATCTTGCGGTTCTGGATCGCAGCACGCGATCCGGTGTATCGCGCGTAGCGGTAGAGGGAGAAAGAGAGAAAGAGAGAAGGAATTTGCGGGATCGAATCATGTTACGCCGGGAAGATCACCTTCGATAGGGATGCCGATAGGATAGGATAGGGTACCGTGACCACGAGATGCACGTAGGATCGCATTTAACGTGTAATTGGTTCACGGACGATGAATAACGTGGATTTTACGCAAACGTGTTACGGGCGCTTGTTTTTTTCTCTTTTTTCTAAATAATCGCACGCTTCTCTTTCAATTCTCTTTCTTTATACGTGTCTAACGAGCGGCAGAAGAAAGCGAGCTCGATACGACCGCGACTGCCGCGTATTTACGTTAGAGTCGGAGGACAGATGTTTTACACAGGTGATAAAATAAGGAATGTCTTGTATACAAAACTTCCGAGTTTCTTCGGAGAGTGTCTCGGAATTCGAGAAATATAAAAAATCTTGATAAAGATTCTCTCCAGTTGAATAAGACGATACGGAATAAGTGCACTGATTTCCAACACTGGGTTTCGCGCTATGGATTAATTACAGAACAATTTGTGTAAACTGTGCGATTGGAAAATAGCATCGATTTTTTGGCGCGAACGACCGAAACGCGAGTCGCAAGTCGAACGTCGCGAAGTACGCTGTAAAGTACGGAAGTTAACGGTATATCGCGCGAGAGGAGATGTACACAGAAATTTGATCGATGTTTTCCAGTTAAGTAATAAAGAGACGCGTCAATTGATTGTATTGATAATTGACGAGGTAACACACAGGAGATAAAATATCGGTTTTTTCTCTCTCTCCCTCTCTCAAAATTACATTATTTGTGCGACATAATTTGCAGAATTTGTTTGCAACATTATTTATTTCAACGAAAATTTTGTTCTTGCAGAGAAAAACTGGCGAGTAAATTGTACGAATAAATTTTTCAAGCGCGCGCGAAACAAAATGAAAAAAAAAAATTAATAAATAAAAAATAAACCACCGCGGATATGTTTCCACGCGACATGTAGGCGTCACACGATGCTATTGAGTTCATCGATCCGTAATGACAGTCTCTTCGTGGTCCGCGCGCAATAATGGCATGTTCAATAAAGAATACATGCCATCCGTTTAATCGCTGCGTGAAATTGCATGAAATTGAGTGCCTGAAAACTGACGTTACTTTTCCGCGGCATGTTTAATACGCTTTTTCATTTTTTCTCAACTTCGCTTGCTTAACATCAACTATGGCAAACGTGATGCGGCGACATTCACATTGTTCTCTCACGAATGACAGGACAATAATTTACGCGCGTAGATTATAATTATATATCTATATATAGATAAATTATTTGATAAAATGTCTCGTTCAAAATTGCTTTACTTTAATTACAACACACACACACACACACACGTGCGGAATCTTCGTGTATTCATATGCGGATATCATTATTTTTGCAACAACATAATAATTAAAGAAAATTTGTGTCTCAAAGCTCGCGAAAGGAATTTCTAATTGCACTTAAGATAGAGAGCCAGGGCGGCCCCATATGGCATTCCGTTAGATAAGCAGAGGCGAGCTCGCGTGACCCGCTCGTGCCGAGTGAGAGGAAGTGTATGAACAACGAGCCCCCGGGAGAGGCTGTGCGCGCGGTCGTAGAAAGTGATAATAATGCGAGCACACGGTAATGAAGTATTGCTGCATCGAGATCCTCTCGATCGAAAGCAGTCGGTTGGTTTTCCGCGATCCGCTTAAGGAATGTTTTAAATAAAAAATCGAATTTTTTCAGAAAACGAACGATCTTCAAACTGACATCCCATCTCCGTTAAATAATTGTCGCAAATAATTTGTAATCTTGTCGTATAAATAATAACGCGAGCTATTACAGCAAGTAATAAAACTTGAAATAATAAAATACACATTGACGCGATTTTCCCGAGCAAAACCGCTAGATCGCCTAGTTTTTTTCCCCTGTGGTTTCCTTATCTCGTCTATCGACGATTCGTTCTGGGATTCTTCGAGTCGCGATCAGATATACACGCCGGCAACGCGGGTTTCACAGCCGCATGCCACTCGTATCGGCGGACGGCTTTTCCGCGAGCGCGTGCGAGCCGGAGTGAGCCGCTAAAGGTCATCGTCTGCTCGCTAAGTGTTACACGCGCACCGCCGCTGCTGCCGCCGCCGCGATCTTTTTAATTGCGCCGCCGCGAGTTCTCGGAATTAAGTACAATTTTAGTGGAATGAAAAATGTGAAAAAAGAAATGTGTAAACCTCAGCTTACGAGAGAAGCACAGAGACAAACACACATAAATTTACTCGGGAGTAGAATTGAGAATTAAAAGAAATTCCAATCGCGCGCGAGACGCGGGTCGCGTTTTACCTGCGGAGCGAAGCTCGACGACGAGATCCCGAGGAGAGAAATACGTTTTCCGTACATCTCGGTCACGTCGGGACACGCCGGTAGTAGACGTTACACTCCCCCGTATCTGCTCTTTTTATGGCCTGACTATTCAACGACCGACAGCGAAGAGAAGGGGGGGGGGAGGAAGAACAGTCGGTCCATTAATTATTTCCTCCGACCTGTTCCAGAGGCACCGCCGGCACCATCTCGGAAGCTATGCCGGCTGACGAGCTCGCGCGTACCCGACAAGAAGAAGAAGAAGAAGAAGAAGACGACGGTGGTAGAAAATCGTGCCTGCAGCCGCCTTAACGCACGCACGCACGCACGCACGCACGCACGCCGATCGCGTCGCCGTTGCCGATAAAGAGAAAGAAAACGCGAGAGAAAAGGAGAGGAAAAAGCCACGATCGACCCGATCATGCCCTTAGCAAACGCCGTCCCGTCGCCCGTCGTCGTCGCATAGTTCCACCGCCGTGAACCCGATATGTGAGCGCCCACCAGCCTGTTAGATGCCGTCGCCATGGTGGAGCAACTGGTGTGCAGCAACTCGCTGAGCCCGGGAACGCTGCGCCCAACCTCAACTCGCACATAAACGTCCCCTTTCTTCGTCTGCCTCTTCCGCGAGAGTTGAAAACAACCGCGGGAAACGACGTGTCTCCTATGCCTACGGGAACAAACGACGACGGATTTACGAAGAAGGTTGAATCTCGAAGGTGATTTGTTTCGCGGCAAAAAGTGAACGAGAATAAAATTGATTAAAATCGTTGGAATCAACAAGCGTGATATAATGTGAACTCTTTGCGTGGAGTCGCGAGTTCAAATGGGTGATTTGTTGTGAAACATTCGTGATGAGGAGAAAAGTGATTTTCTTCAGAAGACGCTGCCTCGAAGAAAATTGAAGTTAACGTGTTTACATGTGGGAGAACTTCAACGAGCAATTTACTGGTGATGAGGAGGTAAGAAGAAGTTACGTTCTCTGGCGCGACAAATCCCCTGTCTAAGGAAAACGGGGTTCATATTGTTATCCACGTGCTATGACACGTATTCGGCGTGATCCAGCCGATTTTTGTGTCATCACGAGACCGCCATGTAAGGACCAGCAACTGGCGTGGAAAGAGAAGAGATCTTATCTCGCGTGACACCAGCGTGTCGAGTAATGCTGAAGCACATTCTGACGGGGCAGCCGTCGTCAGCGGGCTCCAGGCATCATCACAATGATTATCAGACGAGCTCGGGCTCGTTGCACGGCGGACACCATCATCATCACCTGCACAACAATTCGCTGCACCATGATCAGCAACAGCCGCAGCAGCAGCAACAGCAGCAGCATCATCATCACTACAGCGGGAGCGTCGCGTCGACGCGCGTCACCGGACATCGCGGTAACAACGGCGGCGTCGACATGTACGACTCTGTGGCGCAGAGATCGGCGGCCGTGCACCAATCGGCGACGACACCCTCATCGACGCACCGGCATCCGCTGAACCACTCCCAGCTCAGCGTCAACAACCTGTCGCAACGACTGAACCACTCCCACGCGCTCAATCTGTCGACACTGTCGACGTCCAAGCACTCGGTCAACAGCGTCAGTCCGGGTGGAGGCGCCAACGGTAACAACGGCAACAACAACAACAATAATCACAACAACAACAATGTGAGTCAGGTTGTCCACACAGTGATCTCCCAGACTAACGTCCCTCATCAGGACAGACCGAAGGCGAATGGCGGGTTTGACATCTCCAGGCTGTCGCGGCTGCCGAGCCAGACTACGCCATCGCCCGCACCTGCCACACCTGCCGCACTTCCGGTCTTAACTTCCGGTCAGGTAGTCAGCGGTCCGACGGTGATACCCCTGAATACCTCTTGGTCCTCATCCCTGTCTCGAAATCTCCGTCGGAGCGACGGGGCCGGCGTGAAAGAGATGCTGACGAGCCTCGGCTTGTTGTGCCTGGTGTCTCTTCTTCTTGCCCTGCTCTCGGTTATCTTCCTGCTGAAAATCTCGCCGCTCACCGTCACGTCCAACGATCTCATAAGCCCGGAGGAGTTCGTGATCATCTACGAGGTCACCTTGGCGTTGTGCGCCCTCGCGCTCTCCCTCAATCTCTGCTGCCTCCTGGTCTGCGCCATACAGTTCCTCTTCGCCGTGAAGCTCGTTAAAACTTCGTACCAGGGACACCGGTGAGTTGCTGATTATTTCGCTATTTTTTGTTTGCATTGCTATATTATTACATTTTAATTTTTATTCTCTAAGATTAAATTCCTAGTTTTTTTCTTGTGATTTTTATGTATTTTTAATTTCATGTTTATTACACATATTACAATTCTACATGTTTTACGATATTTTGATGTTTTGCTATAAAAAGGCCGCGGGGCTTTTAATGGGGGACCTGAAATGATTCCAGCTGCTGACGAGATTATCGCCGAGCAAGCGACCGTTGACTAATGAACGAAATGAAAAGGGCAGGCGCGGGGGCCCCAGATATGGGACCGATGCGCCCGCCTTTGACACGCTGGAATCCAGTTCAATTATTTTTAAGCTCTAATGGGAGGACCCGACTATATCCCGCGCAAATCGAGATTCGCGATTAATTAACGCCGGTAAAAAGGCGATATTCTCCGATTCGGGAGGAGCGGCGCGCAATAAGGTTCCGTCGTTGACCTCCGGACACGATGTTACGAAATCATCGGTTAAAAGCCGGTTCACACTTATCGCCACCGGAGAAAGAGAGAGATTGCAAGATCGGAGTTCTGTAAATTTGTAAACTTGTCAAGTAAAAAAATATTCCAGAATCCGCACAGACTAGGCGAATATTCAACGATTTAAAAATAGTCTTTACCTTGTACCGTTCGAGCGCGTAGATCTCTCAAGTGCTAGTTAAATATTCAGAAAAACCAGTCGATCAAATATGCAAATTCCGAAATGCTTCTCGGTGTATTCTGCGAACATCCCTGGGATGCATGCAAAAGCGACCTCGCGCGTAATTACACAGGAAGCGATGAGACCCACACGTAATGGGATCTAATGGGGGATTAGCGAGCCTCGTTTCGAGGAAAAAGAAGTTTCCCGCGAAGGAAATCGGAGGAAGCGATTTATGCCGCGGGGATCGCGGGATTCGCGAGATGTTCGTTTCTCGCTTGCGCGATCTCACGTCGTCGTCGTACGCGATCAAGATCGTCCTCCGGAACCAGTGTTCTCAGTCATCCATGCGTGCCCTGTCCGCGTGCTCGAATATACACCAGGTGGATCTTGGTATTCCCTCGTACCCTCCCATCCCTCGACACGATATATCAGCGCGTCTTACCGTGCGAACGTTTCTTCTCACGGAGAGAAGGAGAGGTGCAAAAATTCCCGTAACGTGTGTGTGTGTGCGCCCGCCCGCCCGCGTGTGCTTGCTTGCATGCGTATACAAGTAGAATCGGAGCGAGACGCAGAGATCGTGATGTCGCGCGGTGCCCCGAAATTACCCTCGTTAAAGAAACGCGCTGATGCGATCGCTCTTGGGAATCTCGCGAAGCGTGACTTCTTTTTCCGGACCGCGCAATATCGGGCCAAGTAGAGTGACTGTAGGTTTCTGGTGCAATCTCGAAGAAAAAGAGTAAGTAAGAGTAATTGCAGATAATTATTAAGAGGTTTCAAATTAATTAAAAAAGTACTGTGTGTGTACCAAAGAAATGTATATTAACGCGTACTGCTAATTGCTCGATCTCTCCGCGGACTCCTCGCTCTCGATTTTGCCGCTCGTGGCGTTTAAAAACTTCGCGCGATATAAAACATTTATATATATACTACGTATAAAATAAACGCGCGCGCGAACGCTGATGTAGTGCGTAAGGATCCATTTCGCCGTGGCGGAAAAGAACGAGAAAATTCCGTAGTTGGTGAAGGCAGGTAAGAAAGAAGCCGGAGATGGTCGTTAATGGCCGCCTTGAGAATAAACAAAGAAAACAACGGTTTGCGGCAAACGCGCGCGAGAAATAGCTTCCTTCTGTTTCTCTCGCGCACGTACGCAGTATCGCGAAGCGATTTTCATCATTGAAAATTTAGAAGCCAGTAAAAGAGGCGCGATTAGTGTCCTTTTTTTCTGCGCGCTTGAATTGTTCGCAATCTCTTCCGCGTAAAATCTGTCGTTGCGATTAAATGATTGCGATATAAACTTCGATTGTACAAACGACAATATTAAACGTTGCCATGTGGATTTTGTCTTCCATTGTGTTTAACTGTCACAACGTTTACCTTCTTTGCGATAATTCGCAACGGGTGTTTTCCCTCGCTTTGTGTAATCTTATCACGAAGACATAGTGCGCCCCGTTTTTGTCCTGTTTCAGCCATCGTCGACAAATCACTCGCCTCTTCACTTTTCTCTTCTTACAAGATTTTCATTTCTGGATTATATCTAGAAAGAGATTTGTATATGCGTCCCGGGTCATAAAAAAACCCAAAAGTTTCAAAGAAGAAACTTCAAGAAACGAGGAAATTCCTCGGATAACTGATCGAACGATTAGTATCTTGTATATTCTAAAGTATTTAAGTACTAACAGAAATACATAAATAGTTCGTTTTGAGAAGAACGGAATTTGTTTTAATTGATTCTTTTCCTGACGATTTTTTCCTTTATTTTTCAAGATCTTAATTTCCTTCTCGATAGATTGTTTAAAAAAAATGCATTTTTTAATGTCAAAAAATATTGCACAAGTTCAGTTACTTTTTCATCGGATTTACCGCTTTTTCTCCAAAAAGTTCGATAAATTTTTAATATCGAAGATCAAAGAGAGATTCCGAGAATTTTTTCCATGAAAGTAACAAACCGGGGGAACGGACGCAAAAGTGTTCGCAAACGACTGATAAGGTACGGTTGTATGTATAACGACCTGAATGTAGGTGACGGGGGTTAACGGCTTCTCTAAACAATATTCTGTGCCAACTGATAAGTGCACAGCGATCGATCGGAGCATATGCTGCTATTTTTGTCTCGCGCTATCACGAAACCTTATGGCTCGTGTAGCCCTGCTGTGTAGATAAAAAAAAAAAAAAAATCAATTGCTAATGTAGACGAGTAAGGCATGTGTACAAATGAATTCACAATATTCGGGAGCAACGTGAATAATCTTCGTCGCGTGAAATCCACGATCCAGCAGCTGAGATTTGAAAATTTAATATTTTTACCACTTTTTTTGCTCAACAAGTACCTAAAATTTGCTAAGAATAACTTTCGAAGTTTATCTCAGAGTTATCCGCTCCGTACGCTTTGTAAATGACTTTGTTATGGGACTTACCAGGAAATCTGCACGCAACTGTTGAACGCAAACACCAGACGTCGATACCACCGAGAGTTTTGCCGTGTGGAATATCGCCGGATTCAATGTGCTAATTCGATCGAAGACCTAGGTTATTTGTAGCTTTAAACTGTATTCGTGAATTGAGAACAATAAAAATGTGTGAATTTAACTTTTGAAACTCTTTTACGTGCTCCAAACATTTCGATTATTCAAGTCAAAAATAAGTCAAACAAAATATAAGCAAAATCCATCGCTGGTTGAGGAACACAAAAATTTCTTTAATTATATCACCTTTAAAATATCGTCGCGTGACTTATACAATATCTCGCGTGCGGATTAAAAGTGATGACCTAGAGATAAAGCAAATTTGTGCGGAAAAATAAGATCTTTAGCATACGTAGCACACAATTTTGTGTTATAATATTTATTCGCTTCGTGATCGAAAACTCAGTCGAGTTCAACTCCGTTGTCGCTTAAATGCGTCAGTTAAAATGCACATGAGAAACTTTGTTCGAAACCCACGAAAATTGCGTGTACCGATAATACGTAACGGTCAGAATATATGTATATAACGAATGCGATACCGCGCGGAGAGATCGGAATACATTCGGGAATTTGTTCGCGAGTGTCCCCTTAGAACGTTCCCAGCGGTGTTCGCGCGCGTCGACGATGGCGTATCAGTTGCTGGATCGCGAGAACGCCGCGCTGGGAAATCTTATCTCCCTGCACCGATAAAAACACATTTTGCTTGTAACATACATATATATACATATGCTGCATATATATACATATATATGCATATCTGGCCTGTCGTTACGCTCTGGTTTTCTTCTCCGGGATTCTTTCGTGCGTCTGGCTTATGTCCGCGTTGTGAAGCCCCGTTGTCGTCTCTCTGGTACATCAGCGCGCGCGTACAGCTCCGCCGCGCGGTGTTATTCGGCTCTCGTCAAGTGCTACTTGGCATTCCACGTCTTTCCGGCTTCTCTGGCTCCCGTCTTATCGTGTCTGTGCTTTTCTTTTTTTCTTTTTTATTCCCTCTCGAGGATATCTTCGAGTTTTAGGCACGTGCATGAGGCGAGAAAGAAATTCGACTGAATAAGTTGCGCGAGATATAATCGCACAGTGTTACACTCCAAAAATGTTTAAAAATAGTTTCTTTCTTTCTCTCTCTCTCTCACACACACACACAGAGAGAGAGAGAGAGAGAATAAATAAAACAATCCATAAGTACGCACTGTAAAACATAACACTTTCATGTACATCAGTCGGCGGTGTCGTTTCTTGCGAACAAAGTGTGAGGATCGCGCAGCGAATAACCGACGATGATCGGTCACGCTGTCGCGCGGTGCCGTGAAACCGACAATGTCTCTCGTCGCCCTGACGAGATAGAGCGGACATGAACAGGTGCGACACGAAGGCGAAGGATGAAGGTGCCGATAACGGTTGTAGCCCGAGCGCGCAAAGCTGCAGGCAGCGCGGCCGAGGACACCCTCAATTTCGCCCAGGAGCCCGGACCCCCGTCATTAAGCGCGTCCACTTCCTGGCGTCTTGGCGTATCGAGATAGGAAATTCCTGCAGGCGCACGGTGGGACGCCTTGCTTGAATTCTTTTTCTTTCGATTCTTTTTTTTTAATTGGACCGCGACACGGATTGCAAATACCTGTCGACGAGAAGAGGGGAAGAGACGTGCGGATCGGAAGAGAAAGGAAGAAGATCGCGCGCGTATGATCCATCATCCGCGGCAGAGCTGTGTGATCAGCGTATGATCCATCATCCGGTAACCGCTCGTGTACGCGCGGAGATGCCGATGCGCGAGAGAAGCTATGCGGATGCGTGCGGCCGCCATGATCGCTCCGGGACCTCGGCCGTAGAAGAGAAGGAATTGAATGTATCTCGTAGGA